CATTACAGTTCAAAACCGCACTGTCACAGAATTTTGAGGCTATTAGAGCTGAGCTACATTGGATTCTTCTATCCAAATGTAGTCACAGGGTTAGGCCAGTCCAAAGGATGATCTGGCACTATGAGAAGGCTGGTGGAGTGACTGGATCTTTCCCTAATTAAGTGTCCCTTATAAGATTTTAATGAATTTCCTCTAGCTGGGCTTTAACGAACAGACCAGTGTCATTTGTCCTTACGGAGGCAAGTAAGAAGTGTGGGCAGTAACCCTAGCAGCATTAGTGGGAGAAGGGACAGAGTAGTTATTGCAGCATCAGTAATACTGCACCCTATACCAATCATCACGCAGCACCAGGCTCCTTAGCCTACGGAGTTACACACATGGGGTTGCCTCCTTTTACACAGGGGGCAACCAAGGCCCTGAGTGGATGTCCCAGATCACACGGCTAATATAAGACCTTGTCAGGATTCAAACTCGGGTCTGACTAACTCAAGTACCTTAAGGTCTCAACTGTACACTACTGAAGGCAAATCAGAGTTTATAATTCCCCACCTACCCACCGACCCACTCAAAGGAAACATGTCTAGGGCCAATGTTCTTCACCTTATGGAGGTCATGGACCACTTTTGTAGTGAATCCTCTAGACTCTTAGCACATTTCAAATGTATAAAATTAAATACTTGCAAGTACCACAGAAGATAATCATACTGAAATATATTTATAAAAATAATGTTTTAAAATGAACTCACATAAAACGTGTTTATTTTCAAGCCATTAAATGCCAAAGGCAGCAGTGGCTCTTGTACCTGTCCTAACTGTCACTTGGAAGAAAGTAAAAAATAAAGATCAGCCATCACACCACACAGTGAGACTTTGATGGTATGGATCTGAGGTAAGAGACCCTGTTCTAGGGGAGAAAGGGAGAGTTCAAATGGGCTTGAGTGGTCTGTCACCACTTCTCACTGCATGGGCTGCTGATCATGAGCCTGAAGTGCTCTGTTCCTGCCTGCTGTGGCAGGAAGGGTTAGCTGAGCCCAAAGGATGTTCTGGCACAATCATCCTGGCGGGGGGGCGGGGGGGGGTCCCTGGAACTTTCCCTACTTGTAGGATGGCAGTCTAAGTGTCCCGTATGTGTTCTACAAGAGTTTCCTCCAGCTGGGCTTTAACAGATAGACCAAACCCTACAAATGGCTACTTTGGTTAATTTATGCCAAGGAGCCAAATTCGTCTTCTACTTGTTTTAAAAGGGGCGATGTACAACAAAGCAATGATTAGTCTGGCCCAAGGGTGTTTCAGTAACTAGAGATGGAATTTCTCAAAGGATCATGGGAGAACTGTGAAGGAGGCTCCCAGTCAAGGGGAGAAGATAAGGCTATCCGTGGTCACTTGGTGCCTAACATCCTCACGTAAGGTTTTACAAGTAGTAGGTGAGAGAGGTCTTCAGGGAAAATTCTTCTTTTGATTCGTGGTCTTTTTCAACTATTTTGCTTCCATAAAATAAAGGAAGGAAAAAGTAGAGTTCATGCAGGGAAATTTTTTTAAAAGCTCAGCTGGCCATTCATTCTCCTGAACATAAAGATCTCAAGGCTGAGATTAGAAAGAGAGGACATTACTTCTTTGATCCCCTATAGGAGTTTGGGGTACACCTTCAACAGAGCAAAACTGTCCAAAGGGAGGAACAACTAGTAGGGCTTTCATAAAGTGGGGATTGCAATTGAGTGAAATGAGCTTTTCACTTGGGAATGACTTTTGAAAACAGGCTTAAATACAACATAGACAATGCCAACTTCTCGCTCATCCACTCACTAGTGTGTTACTATTGGGTTCTCTCCCCCTTGCAGGAAAAGTAAACCCATTTTTAGATTTGGTGAGCTAAACAATCTCCAGCTGTGAGCACTCTAAGGCATAACAAGATAAACAATACTACAACTTGAGGAAGTCTTTCTATTTTAAAGGGTAAGGCTTTATCAAAAGAAAAACTATGAAACCGAAAAGCAAATACTAAGGAATTAAAGCAAGGTTATTCTACGCCCTGTATTGATAGGGAAATAGGAAACGCTGAACTGGACAGCACCGAGAGTTAAGCAGTATCCTTGCAAACAAGGTTAACATTTGAACAAGAGCAGTAGAGCCAGGGGTCCATTAGTGCTGGGAGACATACTTATTCCCCAATAAAAGGGCAAGTCTTTTCCACAGACACTAATGTACCTACACATTCATTTTATGAAGTGAAAACTATTTTAGAAACTTCAGTCTGGACATGAAATACCAATGGAGATCATTAAACATCTCTATGAGTCCTTGACCTCATTCTAAGTATCAAATGCAGAACTTCTTGCATTCATGGGGACTCACTGTGACAGACCTTTTATCCAAAACCTGGGTCATCAGTAAACATGCTGTTCTGTTCTGACTTTAGAAGTGGTCATTAATAACATTAAGTCCTACTCTGCTACATAATTTTCATTTTCAAATACTATTTATACTTTTCCCAAAACACTTGAGTTCAGTATTAGGACATTTGTGGAAAGCATGATAAATACAAATATTATTCCATCACACGACAATATTACCTAGTGGCTCTGAGTCAAAAAGATACAATTTATTCTCAACCTAAGATTTTAAAATTAAAAATTCAAAATAGCAGGCACTTATTAGCTGTATTTTTTAAATCTATTGCTCATTAATTTGGACATTTGGGTTTGTCAGACGCATCTGAAAAACTGGGGAGGACAGAACACTGTCCCCAGATGCTAACTCCTCTCTACCACAGCCTGTCACAACTTAACATGCCGCTGAGATGTCACATATAACAGCACAGCTGTGTGGAAGCCCAACTTCACCTCAGTTTCACAAGAGGAATACCAGGTGAGCAGCTGATCGTTTCGATTCCTAATGAATCAAATTTTAAGACAGATTAGTGATATCCTAGGAAAATACCATCTTCATTGGGATTGCCAAAGAAAACTGTCCCATGTTGCCAAAATCAGCAGTATACATTTATCTAAAGGCAGTTGGATACATTCTCAGGAAAAACAAAAACAAAACCAGCAGTGCCAGAAGGAACTGGGGTCTGAGGGGGATGCAATGAAATATTCCAACCGTGATACAAATCTTAAAAATCCATTTCTGCAAAAGCTCTTTTGTAACCTTTAACAGTTTTAATTCCCATATTTCACTATGTAATATTAACAAAAGCATGCTGCCTCAGGATTCCGGGCCATGTAAGTCTAACGTCATTCACATTTAAAGCACACAAATAGAAAACTTCCAGAAGAATATTTTAGCACAAAGCTCTTCTGCGTAGGTGTGCATTTGTGAAATAAAGGTAGGATTATTTCAACAGACATAAATGTGCTTTCAGAGATCAGATGGAGTCTTTGAAATTCTGTTTTGACAGTTACTTGTAGAACAGCATTTCTACAGTGATTAATTCAGAGCTGTGTAGTGATATCATCAAAGCTAAATCAAAACTAAGTTCCAAGGGCTGAGTAATAACAGTTGGAGGGCTGCACAATCAGAATAATGCTCAGCACCTTTCAGCGTGTTATATCACTCTTAAAGGATTACCAGTTCTGTCAAAGTTTCATGTACAAAAAATACTCAGAAAATGTTATTCCATTTTAAAAGTGAATTTTTATGAAAACAGGTGTTCTCCCAAGACAGTGGTCATTTATTAAACTTATACAGTCAGAAAAGATGACATAATAGATCAATATAAATTATGCAAGAATGTTCTATGAAAAAAAAACATTCTAGATTACATAACAGACAGTCAAGGATGACACCACACGCTTCTGCTGAGCTAAATTTCTGATCTTCCAAATGATTCTGTAACTTAGGTCATCAAAGTTTGAAGAGTTCAAAATATTAGGTTCTCAGTTCACCACATTTTATTTTAACCAACAATCCTGAAAACACTAAAATATTAAATTCACTTTTTACACACACACATACACACACACACACACACACCTTCCTACTCTAGAGAGCAGTTCTGATGCTGTCTTAAGAGTACACCCAGGTAAAGTCACTAGTTGCTTTCCCTGGCCATCTCTATTTTATAAATCTGATTTCTCTTTAAAGGGGAAATTCAATTCTTTTTGAAGATGTTATACACCTGTCTGTGACTGGACATTATCGCTAACCAAATCAAATTATTCAACACCTATCTGCACACATTCATAACTTAAGTTTACAGACCACCGTTTATTAAAACAATGGAGACCTTCACGAATGTTTGCCTCAAATTAAATCTCAAACACTGCTTTAGAACAATAGGTAGAATCACTACAGGAATTAATAAAAATTCCTATCTCAAGTGCATGCATATATGTGAAAACAGAAGAGCCATCTGCTTTCTTTGACCAAAAAAAAAAAAGGCTACTTTTATGATTATAAAGTCGTTCAACTGGAGAACTCCATATTTTCATACTTGGATTCAGTAGTTTACAAAGTCCAAACTCAGCAGTATTGTACAGTATAGATGGGGTCTAAGAGGCTAAGAAAAAAATCAACTTTAAACTTCTGAAAATAAGACTACCTTCATTTATTATATCCTTTTAGGAGGCCCAGACACTGCCCTCCAGGAGCACTGAGCCTGTGGGTGTCCAGTGGAAATTGTCAATCGTTAGTGTAATTTCCCCAGAAGACACTGAGGATGCACACGCACACACATTTACATGCGTTGCACGGTGCCAACTATCTCCAACCAAAATAATCCTATACACGTCGAGCCGAGCTATTTCTAGTGTAGAAGCGGTTGAACGTCTGGGCAGTCGGAGGAAACCCATTCGCAGATGACTGCCGAAGCGTCAGGCACAGGGTCCCCTGCCTCCCGCGCAGGGCGCCAGGCACCCCGCACCTGTACCGGGTCCCCAGCAGGGTATTCGGGGGCGCGCGCGCCCGCGCGCGTCCGGGACGCACCCGCGGGAAGCCGAGTAGCCCGGCCGGCCGGCGCGGCGGGAGCATCCTCCGGCAGGACCCGAAACGCCTTCTCCTACCTGTCACTCTGGTCCGAGCTGTTGCCGGGATGCGGCCGCCACCGCCGCTGGGAGCCCCGGTGTGTGCGCGCGCGTGTGTGTGCGCGTGTGCCGGCTGGTGTGCGGCGCGGCTCCCTAGCTGCTC